AAAAAAAAAAAAATTAGCTGGGCATGGTGGTGGGTGCCTGTAATCCCAGCTACCTGGGAGGCTGAGGCACGAGAATCGCTTGAATTTGGGAGGTGGAAGTTGTAGTGAGTGGAGATCACACCATTGCAATCCAACCTGGGCAACAGGGCAAGACTCTGTGGCAAAAAAATACAATAAAACAAAATAAAAAAATTAAAATTTAAAAATAAACTTAATGAAGTAACCCTTACTTTCCACTAGTTTTATACCCCCCATATATCCCCTAGTGATTCTGCTAGAAAATTTACTGCCTACAGCCAGATTTTCTTTGTTCTGTCACTTTTTTCTTAAATTTATTATTCTTTGTCTAACGAGTGTAGATGTGTCTTCCTTTGGGCATTTCTTCAGACTTTACTTTCTTGTGAAGATCCTCATGTACATGTAAAACTAATAAAATGTATGTGCTTTTCTCTTATTAATCTGCCTGGTGTCCATTTGATCTCCAGATCCACAGAAGAGCTTAGGGGGGTTGCAGGTGATCTCTGACTTCCTTACACCTGTCAGGGAATATTGGTGGGGCAACATGTAACATCCTTTGCAGGACTTCAAAGTCTGTCTTCTTATAGCCATCTTGATTATTTTAGTTCCAGCAGTCTGTGGCCTGGGAAGATAGTGTTAGCACACTTTCCCAGAAAAGGAATTAAGTTACGGCACATAAGGAAATCTGCAGAGTACAGATACAGGAAGGAAAAACTGAGATGCCCAGAAAGATGGACAGTAAGAGGAGTCTCCGCGTTCTAAGCATAGGGAGTGTGACTAAAATCAAGTCAATGTCAAAGTGTTGATGAAAGTTAGAAAAATATAGTGAAGGTAAGTATAGAGAAGCTACAAGAGAAGACAAGAAGTGAAGCATCATAAGAAGATTCTTGGCTCCTGCATCTCATTAACTAGAAACTTACAAATTGTATACTTTAAGAGTGCAAAGGGTATGTTGGCAGGTGCTTCTTTAGGTAATACTACCATAATCAGACATTAATAAATGCTTGCAAATGAGAACTACAGTGAATTAGCAAAATTCACCTTCCTTTTTTGAGGTACAATATCTATTTTCATTTGATTTGATGATAAGAGGATTGACCTTCTAACAATGCTTATTAAATGGTTTTAAGGTTTTTGGTCAAATAGTAATCTAGAGATACTGAGACAATAATAGATATTATGTGTTCATTACAGGATCTCCAGAAAATACAGCTCCAAAGCAAGATAAATGCTTAGATAAAAAATCAGAAAGTTGGGGTGAATTTTCTCTTTCATTTAAGATGACAAGTTCAGCATTGAACATATCCATGGCAAAAAAGCAACTGAATCAATATTTGCTGAATCAATGAACAGGGACCTTTATTAGTAAATGACACGTCAAAAATATTAAAAACCTAACACTGCATTAAAAAAAAAAAACCCAGACTTATTATTGTGTGTTACAAGTTGTTGAGGTGGGCTGTTGTAGCTATTTTGTTGTGAGAAAACAAAATAGTGATATCACCACAATAAATGACAGTAAGAGGTCTTAGAGTGGACTTGGGGAGTATTCTCAAGATCAACTTGTTTATTGTTAGGGACACACATGGTGACACATGTGGTCCCACTGCTCCTAAATCTTAGCGCCACCTTAATTTAATAAGAATCCGTAAAAGCACTGACAATCTTGGAACAAAGTGTTGAAAGAGTTTAATGAGTAATCTATCAAGATCACTCTCTCAATAACGGCTCGCCAGATGGCTCAGCAGCCTCATGCTTCACGGCAA